ATTTCGGGTGTCTGTCGAACGAAAAGGTTTCCCACTGTGAGGGTGTGGGGTGTTCCTGGCGACGATTAGCCCCATGAGATTTGCTATTTCAATCTCCCATTGTTCATATTTGTGTCTGTTGCAAGTCACTTCCTCTGGCAGAATCTACAAAGCTAAAGGGTTTTTTTCAGGCAAAGGTGGTTTGTAATGTCAGTCGAGTGTCAACATTGTTTGCAGAATTATCCGCCGTACCCAGAATGTCAACATGCAGTTTGCTACGTAACTATTACAAAGTTCCTTTAATCTCCCGGAGTGTGCCAGCTTTAAAGTAGCTTGTTTGGGCAGCCAATGGAATTATTAAAGAAACTGAGAAACTGGCTACACGTTCAGGGCATAAGGAGGTAAATCAGCTAATCTGGGTTTATTTACCAGTTTAGTGAAACTGAAAACATCACTTAACTGTATTTTTCGAAGTATAGGATGCACCGGACTATAAGACGCACCTACCTTTTTTGGTGAGGAAAACAAGAAAAAGAAAATTTTGCCTCGTTGCAGCAAACAGCCTGCTTTACTTTCATTTTTGTTTTCAGCATAGCTTGATTAGCACAAGGGGGAAAAAATCTGCTCCAACAATTTACCTCCTTGCAGCAAGCAGCAGAGGATCGTGCAAAACAGCTGAGAGTTGGGAGGCTGATCCAATCAACTTGTGCTAATCAGGCTGTGCTGAAGCTGAAAGGAGCTGTTTCTTCTTTCTGCTTGCTGCAAGAAGGTAAACTGCTGGGAGGCAGAGGCCAAAGAGTGGGAGCCAGTGGGTGGGCGGGGCTACATTCAGTGTATAAGACGCACCTAAATTTTCACCCCCTTTTAGGGGGGGAAAAGGTGCGTCTTATACTCCGAAAAATACGGTAATATATTATGAAGCAAGCAACTGTTGTGAGATTATGAGTCCTGCACAATGTTCTTCCAATACTTTGGCTGGGGTCAAGCAATAAACACAAACAAAAGTTTTGATAGGGAGAGGTCAAGATGGTGGCTTCAGTTGCGGCTGCCATCTTGACTTTTTTTTTGACTCTGTGTGCTTCCACAGATGCCTCTGCACAAAAAACAGCTTAATGAAACAAGAGGACGGGATTCTCCTGTATTGCTACTGATCTCGTACACACAAAATGCTGGGAGCAGAATTGGGTTGCCTCTATTCAAAAGCCACTCGTTGCCCAATAAAGGCTGGATAGCTTTATGTGAACACAGCCAATGAGTTCCAGGATCAACTATGATCTGAACCTGGTGCTCCCCACCAGTGGTGAAATGTAAAATTTGTTACTACCAGTTCTGTGGGCATGGCTTGGTGGGGGGAGTAATGTGATTGGGGGGGCGTCTGCCGAAGAGGTTGTAAAAGAATGCTTTTAAAAGCCTCTGACGATCAGGCAACTCAGCTGGGATCGTCAGAGGTTTTTAAAAGAATTTTTTCTACAACCTCTTCAGCCAAAGAGGTTGTAGAAAAAAATGCTTTTAAAAGCCTCTGACGATCCCAGCTCAGCCGCGCAATCATCAGAGGCTTTTTTTTTTACTTTTAAAAGCATTTTTTCGGCCGAAGAGGTTGTAGAAAAAATGCTTTAAAATTTTTTTTTAAAAAGCCTCTGATGATTGTGCAGCTCAGCTGGGTGTGGGGGGGGGAGCAGAGATTTTTGCTACCGGTTCTCTGAACCACCCGCCACCATCGCTACCGGATCGGGCGATCTGGTCCGAACCGGGAGCATTTCACCCCTTCTCCCCACCTAATTTTTTGTCTATAAAACTTGATTGCCTGCTTTTTTTCCCCCTCTAGGACAGGGGTCCCCAATCTCCGATCTGTGGCTTGGTGCTTGGGCCCGTTTTGGAACCAGGCTGTGGAAGTGGTGGATGAATGTGTGGCTGTGGACAGACGTGCACAAAGCTGCATTTGTGAAAATGGCATGCATGCTCGTGCAAAACCATCCCCCCCCTTCTCCCTCCCTCCCCCTAACTTTCCCAAGCTGGAAAGTTTGGAGCCCGCCGCTCTGGGACAATGTTTCTCAACCTCAGCAACTTTAAGACGGATGGACTTCAACTCCCAGAATCCCTCAGCCAGCCATGGCAGTCACGTGACCAAGAGATGCTACAACTACTATAAATACCTACCAGTTAATGCCCAAGTGTTGATCACGTGATTTAGGATGCTACGAGAGTGGTACGTGCAAGCACCTCTTGCAAGTTGCTTTTTCTTTTTTAATGCGGTTGTAACGTTGAATGGTTGCTCAATGGTTATAAATCGAGGACTATCTGTACTAGACAAGAAAGACATGCTAACTAATCTCAGTTTCATCTTTAAATTAGGATTAACCCTGGATTCCCGACTCTGTAATATTAACACTGTTATGTCCTCACCGTTGACAAGCATAATGCATTTGTCATCCCACCAAGGACTCCACGTACAGGTAGTCCTTGACTTACAACTATTTGTTCAGTGACCGTTCGAAGTTACAACAGCACTGAAAAAAGTGACTTATGACTGTTCTTCACACTTAACAACGGATGCCACATCCCCATGGTCACATGATCAAAATTCAGATGCTTGGCAAGGGATTCATATTTAGGACTGTTGCCAGGTCCCAGAGTCATGTGATTTCCTTTTTTGACCATGCTGGCTGAGGAATTCTGGGAGTTGAAGTCCACCCATCTTTGAGATGGCAACGTCCATCTTTGATTGGATTCCATCAATCAAATCATCCCAACCTGGATTTGTAACCCTCTTTCTACCAAAAACTGCAGTCTTATCAGGAATTAATCCCTTGGGAGATGTACGCAGATGAGCCTAGGACTCGGGATGAGTGGGGACGCCCTTTCTCTCCTTGATTCCTTCTTTTCTTTTTTGACATACCCATGAAGTCAGTTGCAAGCAAAACTCTGAAATGCCAAAGATCTAAAACCATCTCTTGCAAAAAGGATTATGGGTTAAGCTACTGGAAGATTGTTCGTGTGTGGGATAGGGGCTAGGGCAGGGGTCAGCAACCTGCGGCTCCGGAGCCGCATGTGGCTCTTTGGACTCTCTGCTGTGGCTCCCTGTCAGGTGACCCCACCACTGGCTGGCCCTGCCCCTCGCCCTCCCAGTCACTCCTCACCTGACCTGAGAAGGTAAGGGTGATGGCTGGGGATGGAGAAGCGGCCAGGGCAGAGATAGAGAGATACAGAGAGAGGGGGAGAGAGAGAGAGACGGGGGGGGGGGGGGAGGGGGGGGAGAGGGGGGGGGGGGGGAGAAAGAGAGATGTCAAAAGGATTTTGTGGTTCCTGGTGTTTTTTAACAACTGGTTCTTTGCCCTAATGACTGGCTGGGTACGTGTGGCTAGGGGGGAATCATGTGACTGGTGGAAGTGAGTGACATCGAGTTGGCCACGCCCAACCAGGTTTTGTGGCTCCCGGTGTTTTCTTTTCTGTGGGAAACAGGTCCAAATGGCTCTTTTGAGTGCTTAAGGTTGCAGACCCCTGGGCCAGGGGGCTAGGAAAGAGCCAGAGTACTTGGGTTGGGTCCCACCTTCTGCCACGGCCAGCCCTTCCTGGACTTTGGGCCACTCCCACCCTTTCAGCACAACCTATCCTGCAGGGTTGCTATTGCTGGGGAAAAGGGCCATAGAGAGGGCTAGTAGGTTGACTTCAGCCGCAGGAGGAAAGGGAAGGCATAAGGCTAACAAGTGCACTAGTTAGAATGGAATACAGGTAGTCCTCGACTTACAACCATTCATTTAGTGACCGTTCAAAGTTACAACAGCATTGAAAAAGTGGCTTGTGTTTGGTTTTCACGCTGACGGCCATTGCAGCATCCCCATGGTCACATGATCAAAATTCAGATCCATGGCAACTGGCATGTACTTATGACGGTTGCACTGTCCCGTCCTGGGGTCATGTGATCCCCGTTCGTAACCTTCCTAGCCAGCTTCCGACAGGCAAAGCCAACGGGTGAAGCCAGATTTGCTTAGTGACCGAATGATTGGCTTTAACAATTGCAGGGATTCACTTAACAACTGTGGCAAGAAAGGTTGCAAAATGAAGCAAAACTCACTTAAGAACTGTCTTGCTGAGCGATGGAAATCTGGGGCTCAGTTGTGGTTGTAAGTCGAGGACTAAGTATAATCCATATTTCCTGTCCTTGGCCAAGCACAGGGACAACTTCTTTTTTCTTCCAACATCTTAAACCTGGTTCCTTTGTACCAGTCCTGCCTTCCACACCTGGTTTGGCTAACCAGAATCACATCTCGGCACCTGCGCTCCATGTTGGGGAGCACAGAGGCTCACATGGTTAGGATGTTGGTCTGAAGATTGGCAGCCCCGTGTTTGAGATCCGGTTGCTGCCATGTGATGGGGTGAGCTCCCGTCACTTGCTCCAGCTCCTGCTGACCCAGCAGACCCAAAAGTGGGCAACCACAAGTACAGGGGTGAAATACTCCCGGTTCGGACCAGAACCTCCGATCTGGTAGCTATGGCGGCAGGTTCAGGTATGGCGCGGCTCAGCTGGGATCGTCAGAGGCTTTTAAAACCTCTTAAGGTTGTAGAAAAAATGCTTTTAAAAGAAAAAGAAAAAAGTTGGCCACACCCACCCAGTCACATTACCCCACCACCACCACCAAGCCATGCCCACAGAACTGGTAGTAACAAACTTTACATTTCACCACTGCGCAAGTAGATAGATAGGTACCACTTTGGTGGGCAGTTTCATGGGGACATGAAAAGATCCCCTAACTGGGTGTCCCCTGGGTAATGGTGATGTCACTGGCTAATCCTCTCAACCTGAAAGTGCTTTGGTGCTCCTAACATAACTACTACTAGTAGTAGTAGTACTAGTAGCTACAAGTTTCAAGGAAGGGATTTGGAAAGTTAGTCTTGTTGAACTCCTCTGCAGACCAGAAATCCAAAGAGCGCTTTGCAGCTCCAAACACTGGAAGATTGGTCCAGGATGAAACTGAGCCTCCCAGAGCTTGGATTAACCAAAAACTTTGGTTTTCCTTCCCCAGATCGCAGCCTCCAACTTAGTGCTTGGGAGAGCAGCATCGTGGACCGGCTGATGACCCCAACTCTCGCCTTCTTGGCCCGCAGCAGAAGCGCTGTGACGCTAGCCGGCAATGGCAAGGAGCAGGGTAAGCACAATGATCTAAAGGGGCTAAAAGGTTATCTAGAGCAGTGTTTCTCAACCTTGGTAGCTTGAAGATGGGTGGACTTCAACTCCCAGAATCCCCCAGCCAGCAGCGCTGGCTGGGGGATTCTGGGAGTTGAAGTCCACCCATCTTCAAGCTTCCAAGGTTGAGAAACACTGATCTAGAGGAAGGCGGGATGGGTCCACCAGCGATGGAAATTCGCCGAGCAAGCCACGATGATGCCAAAATAATGTTGGGTTCTGCAATTGCATCAGGCAAGCACTGCTGTTGCATCCTTGTATTGATTTGTTCGTTTTAGCTTGCGTTCCGTGAACTTGGCCATTACATTTATGACAGGGGTGAAATTCAATTTTTTTTCCTATTGGTCCTGTGGGCGTGGCTTGGTGGGCGTAGCAGGGGAAGGATATTGCAAAATCTCCATTCCCTCCCCGTTCCAGAGAAGGATACTGCAAAATCCCCATTCCCTCCCCACTCCTGGGAGAAGGATATTGCAAAATCTCCATTCCCTCCCCACTCCAGGGAAGGATACTGCAAAATCCCCATTCCCTCCCCACTCCAGGGAAGGATACTGCAAAATCCCCATTCTCTCCCCACTCCTGGGGGAAGAATATTGCAAAATCTCCATTCCCTCCCCATTCCAGAGAAGATACTGCAAAATCCCCATTCCCTCCTCACTCCTGGGGGAAGGATACTGCAAAATCCCCATTCCCTCCCTACTCCAGGGAGAAGGATACTGCAAAATCCCCATTCCCATCCCACTCTGGGGCCATCCAGAGGTGGTATTTGCCGGTTCTCCGAACTACTCAAAATTTCCTCTACCGGTTCTCCAGAACCTGTTAGAACCTGCTGAATTTCACCCCTGGTTTATGAACCAGGGTTTGTGTCTAAGCATGTGATGTTTGGCTGATTGAATAAGCCAGAGTTCCCTAACATTTCCGGCTTTGCAGACTGGCGGGGAGGGGGAGGGCATGGTTTGCACCAGTGGCTGGCAAGCACACGTGCACACAGCTCCATTTTCATGAGCAGCGTGCCTGTGATTGCCTGTGGCTCACACAAATGGAGTGCGCGCGCACAGGCTCGCCCGCTGCTCGCTCTAGCGAGCACAAACGCCTCGTATTGCTAAGCCACTCTAGAGAAGATTCAGACCTTCTGTTTTCATTCACCGCCAACAGTCCCCGTGTGCCCCCGCTCAGCTTCTGCCAGCCCCGTAAGCCCCTGCAAAAACCAGCGTGTACATCGTTGTGCGGAGAGACGGCGGCCAGCAACCAGCAGCCCTGATGTAACTCCCCGGAATAAGCCTCACTCCTCTCCTGTAAGTTGCTATATGGTTTTTTCTTTTTTTTAAATTAACCATCCCAACTCTTTAGATCGGCGTGTCTCAAATCTGGCAACTTCTAAGAATTTGACGCCCAGTAAAGTTGCCAAGTTTGAGAAATGCTGCTTTAGATCCACATCTTTATTCCCACCAAAGTGTCATCTCTCTTGTTAGAAGCAACAGAGACTGGCAGATTTATGGTCTCGAGTGCTGCAGCAGCTCAGCTTCCCCCAACCTGCTGTCCCCTACTTCAGATGTGGGGGGGGGCTACGTCTCATTTTCAGCCCTGCCTGTTGGGAGGAGGAGAACTGTAATGACCTTGAGGGGGGAGTCAGCCATTTGAGGAAATTGCTTTGAGTTTCATCCAGTGGAAAATGGTCTTCCAGTGGTCTTCTCAGTGGTTGTTTTCCAGGATTTGCTTAATTCCTGGGGCTCTCATAGTCTTCTTCCTAAATTAAATCCGAGTCCTGGCCTCTTAGGTGGAATTCCAGACCTGAAGAATGTGGCTGGGAAAGAGACACCGATTAGCCAAATACTGCACACATAAACATACATAGATACATCATAGATACATCAGAAATGGGTTCTAATTACCTTTACTACCAGTTCGCAATGGGATCATGTGCACGCCTTGCTTCTCGCATGCGCAGATTGCTGATGACGACATCCGGGGTGGTGGGCAGAGCCTCCCGCCAGTTTTACTACTGGTTCTTGCAAATCAGTCCAAACCGGGGGCAACCCACCACTGGCATACATATAAGGGATGCAGTGGCTCAGTAGCTAAGATGCTGAGCTTGTCGATCCAAAGGTTGGCAGTTCAGCAGTTCGAATCTCTAGTGCCGCATAACAGGGTGAGCTCCCGTTACTTGTCCCAGCTTCTGCCAACCTAGCAGTTCGAAAGCCCGTAAAAAATGTAAGTAGAAAAATAGGGGCCACCTTTGGTGGGAAGGAAACAGCGTTCCGTGCGCCTTTGGCGTTGAGTCATGCCGGTCACATGACCACGGAGACGTCTTCGGACACCGCTGGCTCTTCGGCTTTCAAACGGAGATGAGCACCACCCCCTAGAGTTGGGAACGACTAGCACATATGTGCGAGGGGAACCTTTACATCAGAGCTTTATATGTTCAAACATGCTTCTACTGTTGCCTGGAGAGATGGATGAAAACCAATAGAGCTTTCAGTTGCTAAGCAACTGACTGTACAGACAGGTACAGAAAGGCTGGTCCAACCAGGACACTGGCAGTTCTGGGACTTCCATACATCTTAAAGGAGTGGGGAACACTGGGAGTTGAAGTCCATACATTGGCAAGATTGAGATGCACCGTTTTCAACAACCCCCTGCTTTGAAGATGGTGTTACTGTGAACTGATCTGGCCTAGCGCTCTGGAGAATTGCTTCTCTGCCATCAAAGTGGGTTCTGCTCTATGATTCTTCCTTCTCCTCTTCTCAGCATCAGAAAAAGAAAGAAAAGAAAGACAAGGATCGGGAAAACGCCCAAGAAAAGAGTGCCTTAGCCCTCCGCAAACGCCACTCTACGCCTTCTGGCCAGGCCCGTCAGCTGCATGTACCCGAAGGCAGGTAAGAAGTCACAAGGATCTTGACGAGATGCCGAATTAATTTAGCACTGGCCAAAAAGACTTTGGGAAACCAACTTTGCAATCGTGTCTGACTGTGGGAGATGTATATCAAAGGTCATTTTGAAGGGGACAGAATATATAGATAAGATTGGAGTTAATTGTAAAGGGATGTCTTGCTGTGAACACATCCTATTGTTTTCTTTGCATGTACCATATTTTTTCGGAATATAAGGCGCACCAGAGTATAAGACGCACCTTAGTTTTTGGGGAGGAAAATAAGAAAAAAGCTGATTGGCAGGTGGATCTGCCTCCGGAATACCCCCAATCAGCTGTTCCCAGAGGTGAATTTTAGCAACAGGTTCCTTGGTTGTGAGCTCTGTGCCTTGCTTTTTTTTTTTTTTTTTTGCTTTTTTTCCTGTCTGAAACTTCTGAAACTCTGTTTCAGAAAAAACTTTTTTTCCTCCTGAAAGCCTCCGAAACAGAGCTTCAGAAAAAAAGGCTTTTTTTCCTGAAACTGCTTTCAGAGGCTTTTTTTCTGAAGCTCTGTTTGGAGGCTTTTTTTTTCTGAAGCTTCTTTCAAAGGCTTTTATTCTGAAGGATTATCTGTACTCTGTTCAATCGCCTTTCTTTGGTATTGGTATACATTAAACTCTTCCGATCTATTGGTTATTGTGTCATTCTCCAGATTTGTTAGCATAGTTTGGTTAAAACCTTTACTGATTCTTCTTTTGTTTGCTTGCCATATTATTTTAGATAAAAGCCTTTCAGAGGCTTTTTTTCTGAAGCTCTGTTTGGAGGCTTTTTTTCTGAAGCTTCATTTCTGAGGCTTTTTTTCTGAAGCTTCTTTCAGCCTCTGAAATCTTCATTTGCGAGGCTGGGCAGGGCTACATTCGGAATATAAGACGCACCCAGATTTTCACCCTCTTTTTTGGGTGAAAAAGGTGTGTTTTATACTCTGAAATATACGTTATTTATATATTTATATTAGTTTTATACTTTTAATGTAGTCAAATGACTAAACCAATAAAGATTCTATTCTATTCCATTCCATTCTGTGTATCAAAATTCAAGATGGTGGCCATGACTATATGGATGAAGCTGCCTGCCAAGAATGCCTCTATTTGCAATAATGCTTTTTTCCCCCCTAACCTCCTAACCCTCCCTATTAGGATGATAATTCCATTTTGTACAATTATCACAAGAGCCGTCGAAATTACAGTTACAGTAAGGGAATCATTCCAATAATTCTGAGGTTTTGGACATAAATTCAGAAAAGATGCTTTTGTTGCATCCAGGGGACGTGAAAGCAGCCTCAGTCTGGAGCCCTTTTAAAGTTTATTTATTTATTTATTTATTTATTTATTAAATTTATATACCGCCCTATTCCTAAGGGACTCAGGGCGGTGAACAGCGAACGATAAAAATACATGTAATACAAACGTTAATAAAAAAAAAAAACAATTAAAATATACTAAACACTCTGGTCCTAGATAATTCAAGACATCCCAGTTTAAAATAAAATCAAAAAAGCAATATAAAGGGAAAGTTAGGCCAGGCCGGCCTGCTGAAACAGAAATGTTTTGAGGGCACGGCGGAAAGTGCGCAGATCCGGAATCTTCTGTATCTCTGGGGGGAGCTCGTTCCAGATGGTGGGTGCCCTCACAGAAAAGGCTCTCCCCCTGGGGGCCGCCAGTCGACACTTTTGTGGAGTTGAAGTCCACAAGTCTTAAAGCGGACAAGTTTGAAGACCTCTGAGGAAGAGTCTCCAGAATAGGATTGGCCGTTTCCCCCACCTTGTCTCTAATGCCATCTCCTCTATGCTTCCCTTTGGCAGCCCAAGCCCTAAGCCCAAGCCAGCCTTGCCGGCTGTAGCCAAACAGCGCCAAGCCTCGCCAAGCCCGGGACCCAGCATTTCACATCGGCCAAGCCTGACTCGCAGTGCCCAGTCTTCCCCCAGGAGGCGAGTTCGCAGGGAGCCCGAAGGCCAACCGAAGGCTCGTGAACGCAAGAACGATCCGAAGGAACGTGGGGCAGCTTCTCCAGCCCCGGAGGAGAGCTTGAAGGCAACGGGGAGCAGTGAAACACCAGCAGGTGGGCCATAATTGGTGTTAGTTAACACTGGATTGCGGTCCACGCCCACCAAGCCACACCCACAGAACTGGTAGTAAAAAAAATTCAGATTTCACCACTGGCTTGGTGGGCATGGCAAGGGAAGGATACTGCAAAATCCCCATTCCCTCCCCACTCCTGGGGGAAGGATACTGCAAAATCCCCATTCCCACCCCACTCTGGGGCCAGCCAGAGATGATATTTGCCAGTTCTCCGAACTACTCAAAATTTCTGCTACCGGTTTTCCAGAACCTGTTAGAACCTGCTGGATTTCACCCCTGATAAAACGTCTTCAAAGAAAAACCAGAAAGTCCGGTGGCCTCTTGAAAAAGCACCTTTGGGACTAGCTTGGATAATGCTAACCTTGGTTAATTTTTTGGGGGAGTAGGCTGCTCCTGTTAGATAAAGCATGCCCTCTCAGTTAGTTTAGCAATAACTTAAGCCTCGGCTTAAGAGCATTGTGTGAATGCAGCCGTGGTGACTAAAAACCACTGAACAAGCAGTCTCTGGGCTGCCTTAACCACCCCAGAGCCTCCTTACAATCAAGCCGAGCTACCTCTTCCCTTCCATTATGGATGTGATGCCTGGGTGGCGATACTGGTGGGCAGGTGGGGAGGCTTCTTCTGGGGGAAGCGGGTTAACCCTGCCTTTGGCTTTCTATAGAAATCACTGCCCCCTCGGGGGCTGCCAGCCCGATGCCTCCACCTCCTCCCTCAACGCCAGGCAAACCGATGGCTGGCACCACAGACCGAGAAGAAGCTGCTAGACTGCTGTCGGAGAAACGGCGGCAGGCACGGGAACAGCGGGAGCGGGAGGAGCAGGAACGGAAGGAGCAAGAGGAGCAGGAGCGGTGAGTTTTCCAGTGGAGCTGAAGCAAGGTTTCTAGCCCTCATGGAGCAGGAGGATCCTATTATTATTTTTTTCCTGGAGAGTTGGGCACAATGAGTGCCCAACTTCAAGTGACCAGCCAGAATCTCATTTCATCTCATTCTAGGTCAGAGGTCGGCAACCTTAAACTCTCAAAGAGCCACAAAGATCCTAACCGGAAGCCCCCATTCAATTCTGGAGCCAACCAGAAGTCCGGTTCCCCTACCATAGAGTCTCCTCCTAGCGCAGCATCCTTTTTCCTCTGCCGACTGGAAGTTCCGTTCCCCTGCCATAGAGTCTCCTCCTAGCGCGGCATCCTTTTTCCTCTGCTGACCGGAAGTCTCGTTTCCCTACCATAGAGTCTCCTCCTAGTGCGGCATCCTTTTTCCTCTGCTGACCGGAAGTCCTGTTTCCCTACCATAGAATCTCCTCCTAGTGCGGCATCCTTTTTCCTCTGCCGACTGGAATTCCCATTCCCCCACCATAGACTCTGCTCCTAGCACGGTGTCCTTTTTCTTCTACCTGTCCTAACCAAAAGCCCTATTAATTGTGGAGCTGACTAGCAACAGGGAGCCGCAGCAGAGGGATGAAAGAGCCACATACGGCTCCAGAGCCGCAGGTTACTGACCCCTGTTGTAGGTCGAGTGTCTCATCCCTTAGGGAAGGGATCAGATACTCAACTGAAAATGGGTGAAACGAGATGGTGACATGGAACATGTGCAGAGTTTTATTTTCCCTTCGCATGACCTGAGTTAAGCTTCTGGATTGCAAGCGTATTGCTTCTGGGGCATGCTAAAATGCCCTTAGCGGGCACTTTCCATTCTTCATTTTCGTGGTTTATGCTTCAACTTTGACTCTTGACATCCGGCAGGCGCCAAGCGGAGGAGCGGGCTCAGCAAGAAGCCAGAGACCGCCTGCAGCAGCAGGTTGAGCTGGCTAGGCTGGAGGAGCAGCTGGCCCACCAGGAGGAGCAGGAGGCTCAGGAACGGGCCAGGGCGGAGCAAGAGGAACAAGAACGGCTGCAGAAGCAGGTGTGTGTTGCGAGTTGAGGGACTACTGGTCCTCACGTAGCTTTTTCATTACTGCCGTAACTGCGAACGGTCACTAAATGAGGCAGTCGCTAATCAAGGACTATCTGTCCTGCTGAGAAGGGTTGATATTTTGCTTAGGCAGAAAGAACATCTTTCCCCTTTACAGAGATGGATTCAGTGGTGAAATTCACAAATTTTCCCTACCGGTTCTGTGGGCGTGGCTTGGTGGTGGTGAGGTCATGTGACTGGGTGGGTGTGGCCAACTTTTTTTTTTAACTTTTTAAAGCATTTTTTAACTAAAAAAAGTTTTTAAAAATTCCGACAATCAGCTGTGCCAGTGGTGGGTTGCCCCCGGTTCGCACCAATTCTATAGAACTTGTAGTAAAACCGGTGGGAGGCTCCGCCCACCAACCCCAACGTCATCAAAATGCTTCTGCACATGCGCAGAAGCTTCTTCACTTGTGCAGAAGAGTGTGCGCGTGAGCGAAGCGAGCACGCGCGCCCCTGTTGCAAACCAGTAGTAAAGGTAAGTAGAACCCACCCCTGAGCTGTGCCCGCGATTGTCGGAACCTTTTTTTTTTTTTTTTACTTTTTAAAGCATTTTTTTACTACCAGTTTGGGCAAATAGGTAGTAAAAAAATGCTTTAAAAAAGGTTCCAACGATCAGATGTGACAATCAGCTGTGCCGCACAATCATGGGAACCTTTTTTAAAAAACTTTTTTAAAGCATTTTTTACTACCGGTAGCATTTCACCCTGGATGGATCCCTGAATTCCCCAAATGGTCTGGCAAGAGGAGCTGCCTTTTTTTCTCTCATTCATTTGGGTGGTGGTGGGGGGGAATCTGACTCAGAAAGTCCCACTTCCTCTCCTGCAGCAGCTGGAAATGGGGGGGGAGGAGCCGTCTCTGGCATGGCAGATGTTCACCTCTCCTCTCCTTCCCTGCAGAAGGAGGAAGCCGAGGCTCGGGCCCGGGAAGAGGCTGAACGCCAGCGAGTGGAACGAGAAAAACATTTCCAGAGAGAAGAACAAGAACGGCTGGAGAGGAAGAAGGTAAGAGGGTTGCCTCAGCATCCCTGGTAGGTTGCACCTGGAGTGCTGCGCCCATTAATCCTGCAAGATGTGGACAGCTCTATAATTGCTGTACTTGGGAATTTGCTTCCAAAGCAAGCAAGCAGGCCAGTTTGTCTTAGCCACTGTGTTGGAGAGCAATTGTCCCAGTCGGGAGGAGGGGTCAAATGGGAAATAGTCTGGAGTCGTTATGCAAACACAAGACACAAGGTCTGACCCACCCTGGAAGGCAATTAGACTTATCTACTCTTTCCCAGGGGTAAGCGGCCAATCTAGGAAGATTCCTGTGAAATAGGCACAAAGCAGTAAAGTACCTTATTTGTACTCTACACTTGTGGGTCTGGTTGTTGGCGCTCGAACCGCTGGATTTTAAAGAGTTGCTATCGGGAAATCACGACGTCTTCGGTGAAATTCAATTTCATTGGCAAGCACAGTTAAAACTCACCCCAGAGGCGGGCATTGTTGTAGCATTCCCACGGTCATGTGATCAAAATTTAAGTGCTGAGCAACCAGCATCTAATTACAATAGCTGCAGTGTTCCCGGGACCTTGTGATCTCCATTTGCAACCTTCCCAACTGGCTTTATCAGAAGCCAGTTGGGAAAGCAAGCAAGACAATGGAAAAAGCTAGAGTTGTTTAATGATCTCATGATTCACTCAGCAACTGCAGTGATCCACTTAACCACCATGGCAAAAAGGTCATACGGTTGGGTGCGATTCACTTAGCAACCATCTTGCTTGGCAGTGGAAATTCTGGTCCCAGTGGGGGCGTCGGGCGAGGACAACTTGTAATGGGATAAGACTTGAACTGTGGCATGTAATTCTTCTTCAGGTCCCAGTACCTGAAGCTTTGGAAGAGATCTCCACTACATTTTCCCTGTGTGAACCCTTCCAGTTTGAAAACTGTACAGGATGTTCTAGCATCCTTACCCCGTAGCAAAACATTCAAATAATTCCCAAATAATCTCACTGTTTTATAAATCAGACTCCCCCCTGCCCCCTCCTGTTGGGGCTGGTGAGGCAGCAAACTTTTGCATTTGAATAGGGCTGGATTTTTTTTTTCTGACATTCTTGTTTTGTTTTTCTTCTTGCAGCGCCTGGAAGAGATCATGAAACGGACGCGAAAAGCTGAGGGAGCTGATGCAAAGGTAGAATAGAATAGAATAACAGAGTTGGAAGGGACCTTGGAGGTCTTCTAGTCCAACCCCCTGCCCAGGCAGGAAACTCTATACCACTTCAGACAAATGGTTAACCAACATCTTCTTAAACATTTCCAGTGTTGGGGCATTCACAACTTCTACAGGAAAGTTGTTCCACTTATTAATTGTTCTGTCAGGAAATTTCTCCTTAGTTCTAGGTTGCTTCTCTCCTTGATTAGTTTCCACCCATTGCTTCTTGTCCTGCCCTCAGGTCCTTTGGAGAATAGCTTGACTCCCTCTTCTTTGTGGCAGCCCCTGAGATATTGGAACACTGCTATCATGTCTCCCCTAGTCCTTCTCTTCATTAAACTAGCTATGCCCAGTTCCTGCAACCGTTCTTCATATATTTTAGCCTCCAGTCCCCTAATCGTCTTTGTTGCTCTTCTCTGCACTCTTTCTAGAGTCTCCACATCTTTTTTACATCGTGGCAATCAAAACTGGATGCAGTATTCTAAGTGTGGTCTTACCAAGGCATTATAAAGTAGTATTAACACTTCACGTGATCTTGATTCTATCCCTCTGATCATGCAGCCCAGAACTGTGTTGTCTTTTTTGGCACACTGCTGGCTCATATCTAAATGGTTGTCCACTAGGACTCCAAGATTCCTCTCACAGTTACTACTATTGAGCAAGGTACCACATATACTGTACCTGTGCATTTTGTTTTTCTTGCCTAAATGTAGAACCTTGCTTTTTTTCACCGTTGAATTTCATTTTGTTAGATAGCGCCCAATGTTCAAGACTGTCAAGATCCTTCTGTATCTTGAGCCTATCTTCTGGAGTGTTGGCTGTTCCTGCCAGCTTGGTGTCATCTGCAAATTTGATGAATTCCCCATCTATCCCCTCATCCAAGTCATTGATGAAGATGTTGAAGAGTACTGGGCCTAAAACAGCCTTGGGGTACTCCACTTAATACTTCCCTCCATGTAGATGCAGTTCCATTGAGGACTACACATTGAGTGCAGTTAGTCAGCCAGTTATGAATCCATCTGGTGGTGATGTTGTCTAACCCACATTTTTCTACTTTATCTAGTAGTAGGTTATGGTCTACTTTATTGAATGCTTTACTGATGATCTTCCTGGTCTCTTCCAGCAGATGAGAGGATTGTGAGCTGCTGTTTCTGGCCTTAGATAGGGTGATGCCTCCAGAAGAGGAAGCAAATAGCAGCCCTTCTTCTGAATGAACGGGAGCACAATTCAGCCTGCCACAACTCCTAAACATTTATGCACAGCTGCCCCACAGAGGTTTTGGATCTGCCACTTGGCATCTGTCTTCTGCTGTGCCCCTCTTATGATAGGGCGGCCTTGGGCTTCTGGAACCACGCATACTGGGGGGCCTTGGCACATACAGTGGACATTTTTCCTTCCAATCTGGGTCGGTCACTGGGACCAGAGGATTACTCTTCTGAGATTTATGTAGTCCAAAGCAGGGGTGGGCTGCTGGGGGTTTGCAGGGGTTCAGGAGAACCTCTAGCTAAGATTCTGTGCAGTTCGGAGAACCCCAAATCCCACTCTTGGCTGGCCCCTCCCCGCCCCACCCCGCCCTGCTCCACCTCTCCCGTCCCAGGAGTCCCCATGCGGCCTGTTTTGGACGCAGGTAAGTGCAGGGCGCATGTGGAGGCTTGGGGAGGGTGAAAAACAGGCCTACCGGAAGTTCGGGAAGGCCAGAAATGGGCCCGTTTCTGGCCCTCCGGAGCCTGGGGAGGCCATTTTCGCCCTCCTGGAGGTTCAAGGAAAGTCTCCGGAGCCTCTGGAGGGCAAAAATGCCCCCTGCTGTGGTGCAGGAGGCCGACTAGGCCACGCCCACCCAGCAACTGGGCAGAGAACCCCTTGCTAAAATTTTTGAAGTCCATTCCTGGTCCAAAGCACACATTCCAGGAGAGAGAAGTTCCCCGAGGATGGGCTCCAGCACGAGTCCAAAGACTCAGAAGACACAATCTCTGGTCACAGTGACCGACTCCAATTGGATCTTGTAACATTATCCTGGGACCTGTATATTTGCCTTCATTCGTGAGCCTTCCTTCCTTCCTTCCACAAGAAGATAGCAAGCATGGAGTCTTCGTCTGCCAACCTACTGGTTGAAGACCTGCTTCCTTCTCACTTAATATATCTCCCACTCCTTTTTCTGCAGAAGAAAGAGGACAAGAAGATGGTGAATGGCAAGGAAGAGAAGCAAGAGGATGGAATGGGTCCAGGTGAGAATCCCGTTCTGCATCCTTCAATATACTCATTATGAAATCTGATTACAGGTTGTCCTCAACTTAGAACCATTCATTTAGCAACCATCTGAAGTTGCAACAACATTGAAAAAAGTGGTTTACAATCGGACCTCCCACTTGCGACAGTCACAAGCGTCCCCATGATCATGTGTTCAAAATTAGGTGCTTGGCAACCAACACATATTTACGATGACTCCCGGGGTCATGAGGTCACCATTTGTGACCCTCTCAGCCGGCTTCCGACAAGCAAAGTCAACGAGGAAGCCAGATTCGCTTAATGTCTAACTGATTCGTTTAACAACATCAATGTTTCACAACAACTATGGCAAAAAAAACAACAACAACAACCCAGGTGTGACTAAGTTAACAACTGCTAAGCAATGGAAATGTCGGTGTGGTTGTATGTTGAGGACTACCTGTAATCTCATGAGTTTCTCTCATTTTTAAATGAACTCTGTTCATAGACTCACCGTGGAGAAATACAGATTCATTTTAGGTCCCATTGAGAAATCCAGCTTTTTTGGGGGGGGGAGGGAGAAGGAGGTCCTAGGATTCTGTGGCCTCTAGGGCAGTGGCCCCCAACCTTTTGGGCACCAGGGACCGGTTCCGTAGAGAGGGGTTTTTCTGTGGACCAAAGAGGGTGTGGTTTTGTGTGCTGCCTGCATCCTGTGGTTGGGGCTTTGCTTGTGTTGTGGCCCAACAGCGGCCAGCAGAGCTGGCAGCAGATTCGGACAGTGAAGAGGTTGGGGAGGAACATGAGCCAGTCCTGGAGTCTGGGGAAGGCTCTGACGAGGGCTCTGCGTCAGAGGCAGAGAGGGGGCCAGAGCCGTATGCCAGTTATCAGCTGCCTTCAGAGTCAGACATCAGTGAGGCAGATGAACAGCTGGAGCCTGTTCCCAGCGTGTGCATGCGCAGAGTTGCCTGATGAAGGGAACAGCTAAGGAACAAAGGTCGACTTGGGAGTAAGGCCACAGGTGGACGATGAATGGCCCCTCCCAGAGGGAGTAAAAGAAGAGTGAAAGGGGAGTGGAGTTTGCAGGAGACAATTAATTCATTCCTGCATTCTTGCTAAGTATTGCAGCGTCTGAAAGATATCGGCCTGGCCACTCTCCAAGCCTGATAAAGGTCGGTAATTGTGAACTATCTTGAAAGACTGTGGGAGAGGAAAGACTTTGCTGGAGAGGAATTCATTGTCAATTAAATAAAAAGGGTTTATCGGGATGAGGACTCGGCTTCGTGATGCTGGGTAAGCCAAGGTCAAAACAGCTTGTTTGCGCCGACCGGTTTCTGGCATGCCATGGACCGAAGGTTGGGGACCTCTGCTCTAGCGTACTTGATAGAAGATTTTCTTCCATTTTCAGATGGCAAGAAATACCCTGGAAGTCTCCCCAAGGAAGAAGAGCTGCCCGAGATGCAACCCTCAAGCCCGGCCAGTCGCAAAGGGCTGAGTCCAGAGGGCATGCAGCACAGGTATACAAGGAGTTGGAAAAGCAGGTCGGAACATTACAGGAATGCCATAGGCAGGCACTTTCCCAGAATCCCCATCTTTGTTGGTACTGAAAGATAAACATCTCTGGAGCTTCACATGTCATTGACTAGGTCAGGGGTGTCAAACTCGATTTCATTGAGGGTTGGGTTTGATCTCGGAGGACTGGGGTGGGCATGGCCAGCTTGACATCACTCCTGTCGGGGTGGCGCCAGTGGTGGCCCGAGTACTCTGCCAGCGAAAACAGGCTCCCCGGCTCCGTTTTCTGCTGCCACGGCCTCCTGCAACCCTCTGCCAGTGAAAAAGGAGCTCGGGAGGGCCGTGTGAGCTCTGTTTTCACTGGCAGAGGGTTGCAGGAGGCCGTGGCAGCAGAAAACAGAGCTGGGGAGCCCGTTTTTGCTGGCAGAAGCACCACAGGCTGGTCCTTTGCTGTTTCCAGGGTGGCCCCACGGGCCAGATCTAAGTACCCTACGGGCCGGATCTGGCCCTCAGGCCTTGAGTTTGACACCCCTGGTCTAGGTGGTTTTCTTGTCAACAATAAGGAAGGGGCTACTAAAGCTTTCCCTTCTGGAATGCCATGGATTTTTCTGGCCTTCCTCCATCCACTTATTAATCAGATCCAACCAGCTGAGAGTTACCCACCCCACCCCCCAAGATCAGCCAAATTATCTAGATGAGTGGTTTTCAACTTTGGCAACTTGAAGATGTGAGGACTTCAACTCCCAGAATTCCCCAGCCAGCATTTTGGCAATTCTGGGAGTTGAAGTCCTCACATCCTCAAGTTGCCGAGGTTGAGAATCATGGCTTGAAGCGCATGTGATGCAGCTCCTTAAAAAACAGATGCATTATTTGTGTCTTGAACAAAAGCATAGGGAGGCCGGATCAGGGTTCTCATTTGGCTCCATTCCAAGGGAATGTGCAGCTTCTTCACATTCTTGGAATTCTGTGGGATCAGAGTGGGATCAAACTTAAGCGGTCCCTTCAACAAGAGATTTATTGTCGGGAACTTCGTCCTGCTGATTTTTATTGGGGCCATATTATTTCCTTCTCCAATTCCTTTTTCTGTTTCTTCTGCCTTTCAGCTTGTTTTTTCAATCTTACCTCTTAATCCTGGGAAACAGCAAATGCTCATTTGGATAATTCAGGGAAAAGCAACTTTGTCAGGTGCTGAGCACCCAAACAGGCAAACGAAATGCTCCAGAGTATAAGACGCTCCAGACTATAAGATGTACCTACCTTTTTGGGGGAGGAAAACAAGAAAAAAAATGCCTCTGCCTCCCAGCCATTTGCCTCGTTGCAGCAAACAGCCTGCTTTACTTTCATTTTCCTGTTCAGCACAGCTTGATTAGCAGAAGCAAAAAAAAATCTGCTCCCAGCAATTTATCCCCTTGCAGCAAGCAGTGGAGGCCCGCTCAGCAATAAGCAATAACAATCCCTGCAGCCTGAAACAGCTGAGGGTCAGGAGGCCGATCAAACCAACAATCAGCTGCTTGTGCTAATTAGGCTGTGCTGAAGCTGAAACGGGCTTTTTCTTCTTGCTGCTTGCTACAAGGAGGTAAATTGCTGGACAGCAGAGACCAATGGGTGGGCGGGGCTACATTCAGTGTATAAGACGCACCCAAATTTTCACCCCCTTTTAGGGGAGGGAAAGTGTGTCTTAGACTCTGAAAAATACGGTATATATCTATTATCTATGTGTCAATCTATCATCTATATCAATCATCTTTCTCTATGTATCATACTGTCTATCATCTATCAATCATACATCTATCATATAATCATGATAGATAGATAGATAGATAGATAGATAGATAGATAGTCAGACAGACAGACACACACACAGACATAGATAGATAGACAGACAGATGGACAGATAATCTCTATAGAGCCAGCCAGCCATTTAATTTGTATAGTTGTTGATCTCAACCCAATTGACTCTGGGCGACAAACAATATCACACTAATTAAAACCATAAAAATACAAGGACAGTTACAGATTATAGCTGTAAATTATCATAATAAAGTTACATAACACTGCAACAACCACGTAATGGGGGCCCCTAATATTTCCAGGACCACATAACCTGATTTTATTTATGTACTTAAAACACTGATATAGTCGCCCATCTTTCAACCAACTCAGAGAGGCTCCCAATTAAAAATTAAAAGACACATATAATCATTTTAAAATCTGTAAAACTCAGCCAGGTAAAACATATAAACGTTAAAAATGACAAAAACCTGGCCCCCAGTCCATGCTAATGTGCCATTGTCTCTACTCCAGGGGTCTCCAAACCAGGCAACTTTAAGACTTGTGGACTTCAACTCCCAGAATTCCTCAGCCAGCCATGGAATTCTGGGAGTTGAAGTCCACAAGTCTTAAAAGTTGCCTAGTTTGGAGACACCGCCCCCTCCCCCCCCTAATCTTTAAAGATTAGGATCTTGAAAACCTTACAAAAGCTAAAAGGGTCGGAGCCATTCTGAGCACCAAAGGAGGCATGTTCCAAAGGGCAGGGACTATTGCCAAGGGGCGGGGGGGGATATGTCTCTTGGTGCCTGCCAGTTGACAGGACCCACAGCATCCCCAAGAATTGGACAGGTAGAAACTCTCAGGAGAAGACTGTCTGTTGGGTAATCCAGTACCCAAGCCATGTAGAGCTTTAAAGCTGACAACCAGCACTTTGGATTGCACCCAGAAACAGCGCAGGGTAGCACCTGTAGTAGTAAAGGTAAAGGTTCCCCTCGCACATATGTGCTAGTCGTTCCCAACTCTAGGGGGTGGTGCTCATCTCCATTTCAAAGCTGAAGAGCCAGCGCTGTCCAAAGACGCCTCCGTGGTCATGTGGCCGGCATAACTAAATGCCAAAGGCGCACGGAACCCCATTACCATCCCACTAAAAGTGGCCCCTATTTTTCTAGTTGCATTTTTTTACGTGGTTTTGAACTGCTAGGTTGGCAGAAGCTGGGACGAGTAACGGGAGCTCGCCCCGTTACGCGGCACTAGGGATTCGAACCGCTGAATTGCCGACCTTTCGATCGACAAGCTCAGCGCCTTACCCACTGAGCCACCATGTCCCTCCTGTAATAGTAGCCATGGCCAAAAGTCAACAATAGTTGTATCCCTTCCTAACTTATGGTTAGGAATTGATGGTTTGGCTCTTCGAGACCTCTGTCCTTTCTGTCTCCGGAGAGTGTGACTGCTTGCTCCGAGTCCTTCCTGAATGGCTTCATTCCTCCTTCCCCTCCTTGTTCCTCCTTTCCCAAGGCCAGCTCAAAAGTCCTTTACACCAGAGGTCTTCAAACTTGGCAGCTTTAAGACTTGTGGAGTTCAGCTCCCAGCTATGCTGGCTGGAGAATTCTGGGAGCTGAAGTCCACAAGTCTTAAAGCTGCCAAGTTTGAAGACCTCTGCTTTACATTAATGCAGGGGAGAACACCTGGGGCTAAAACAACGATTTGTGTGTGGATACCTGCAAAGATCTGCTCTCCAGGATGTCCCCCCTTCTGCCCACCTTTGTTTTCCTCCCCGTCTCCTTGAGGGAAGCTTGTGATGCTGTGACTTCACATTTCCCCCCCCCCCCCCACACACCTCTCTTTCCACTGCAGCTCCCCCATCAACCCCACCCTGGCCCTGGTGAATGGCCTGCAGTCCAGCAAGCATGAGAATGGCTTCCCCTCTCCCCAAGAGCCTAGCGGACGGGAGCACCCTGCAGGGTCGGGGCTAAGCGTGGCCGATGAGCCCATCCTGCCTTTTGCCAACAAGGAGCCCTTCCTCAACAATGCCGTGGCCCAGGCACCACAGGTCACAGGTAAGGTAGCCTCCATTCCCCAGCAAGGAGCATTCTTCTGCCTATGATGGAATGGTGACTCCCAGGAGGGGCTGCATTCCAGAGGAGTTGAGAGGCAGCTCAGTGTGAGAGAAAGAGGGCGAGGACAGCCCCTCCCTAACAGTTCACAAGAGCACAGAACTCCTCGACATTACGACCACAATTGGGAACATGAATTTCCGTTGCTAAGGAAGGTGGCGGTGAAGTTAAGTCATGCCCGATTTTGCAACCCTTTGTTGTCAAATTTTAAGCAGTTGTTTCGATGAATCGCACCGTCCTTAAGTGAATCCGGCTTTCCAATTGACTTTGCTCGTCGGCAGCTGGCTGGGAAGGTTGCCAATGGTGATCATGGGATCCCGGCGTGCTGCAACTGTTGTAAATCCATGCCAGTTGCCCCAAGCACCTGAATTTTGGTCATGTGACCGTGGGAATGCTGCAACAGTCATAAGTGCTGGGACCCTTTTTTTCAACACCACTCAGTGGTGGGCTCTTCCCGGTTCGGCCGAGCCGGTAGCGGTGACAATATGACGTCACCGAACCGGTTCTCTTTGTTCGGGAGCTGGGCCCTCCAACCCCCCCCCCACGTTATTCTTACCTTTTATTTGGCCCCATCCCCAATCTATTCGCTGCCTCCCGAGTCCCAGCTGATGGCTAGAAGGAAAAAAACTGTTTAAACTCTTGCCACGGGGCTTCAAAGGGCCGCCCTACAGCTGATCAGTGTTAAAAGGCAGTGTGGTGGTAGACCAGTGCGCTCGAAAAACAAATGGGTAGACCGGTACAGCTCTGCAAGCAGTTAAAAGCCTGGTAGACCAGTACCTCTGCTAAATCCTAAAGAATTGTCACATGACTATCAAACCATGCCCACAAAATAAGCCACACCCACAGAACCGGTAGTAAAAAAAATTAGAACCCACCCCTGGCACCACTGTAACTTCGCTGGCCACTTTAGTGAATGATTGTCAGTCGAAGACTAGCTGTGTATTGTAGATGCAGATAGTAGAGTCTTCAGTCTGATAGAGATTCTGTGTGAAACAAGAAAGAATTCAGCTGGGAAGAATTGCAAGGTGATATTATCTTAGTCTAAGATTCTGTGGTTCAGGTGCCAAGCTAGAATAAAGAGAGAGATACTAAAAGCAGGTTCACATCTCACAGGCCCACGGATTGTGTCTCAGTTGCATCTCAAAAGTGATGGGGTCAAGAAAAACTGGGGAAGGGGTTCCAGCAGGGGTGAAATGCTCCCGGTTCAGACCGGATCGCCTGATCTGGTAGCGATGGCGGTGGGTGGTTCGGAGAACCGGTAGCAAAAATCCCTGCCCCCACCCCCCGCCAGCCATGCCCAGCTGAGCCGCGCGATCATCAGAGGCTTTTTTTTTTTTACTTTTAAAAGCATTTTTTCTACAACCTCTTCGGCCAAAAAAAAATGCTTTTAGAAGTCTCTGATGATTGTGCGGCTCAGCTGGGATCGTCAGAGGCTTTTAAAAGCATTTTTTCTACAACCTCTTTGGCCGAAGAGGTTATAGGGAAAACAATGCCTTTAAAAGCCTCTGGCAATCCCAGCTGAGTTGCTTGATCGTCAGAGACTTCTAAAAGCATTTTTTTTCTGCAACCTCTTAAGGTTGTAGAAAAAATGCTTTTAAAAGTTTTTTTGGACATGCCTACCGAGTCACATTATCCCCCCTCCAAGCCATGCCCACAAAATAAGCCACGCCCACAGAACCGGTAGTAAAAAAATTTAGAACCCACCCCTGGTCAGAACCGTGCTATAAGGGGGAATTGATAAGGGGATAAGGGGGAATTGAAAGGGAAACAAGAAATAGAAGAACAAGGGATTGAGATGGACTGGTATACTCATATGCAAATACAAACAAGATATGAAAAAGATGCTAAATTACTCACAGAAACAGATGAAAAAATAATTTAAAATATATATAATCACTTAGTATTGAATTAGAAGAACAACAGGTAAAAGAAACAATGATAGCTTGGGCAAAAAATTTTGGATATTCAATTGAGTTAGATAAATGGCAGCAGCTTTTGGAAAGGAATTATAAATTAACAATGTCCACAGCATATAAGGAGAATCAATATAAAATGTTTTACAGATGGCACATGGCACCTGAAAAACTGGCAAAAATGTTTAAAGATAAATCAGCTAAATGTTGGAAATGCCATCCGATACCAGGATCATATTATCTTACATGGTGGACATGTTCAGAAGCGAGACATTATTGGATTAAAATTAAAACATGGTTAGAAGAAATGATACAACAACACATAGATTTAAAACCAGAACTGTTCCTATTGGGTATCTTACCAGAGAAATTTAGTAAAGAAAATATATATTTGATTATACATGTAATAACTGCAGCGAGGATAGTATTTGTGCAAAGATGGAAAGCAGAGAAAAACCTTACAGAGGGGGAAGTAATTAAGGTAAGAGCCTGAGTGGCGTAGGAGGCTAATGCCTCCTACTAAGGCAGCATTTAACATCCAGCTGCCTGCAATTACTGCCTGCAATTACTGCGATTCAATTCTCACCAGGTTCAAGGTTGTCTCAGCCTTCCATCCTTTTTAAGGTGGATAAAATGAGGACCCGGTTTGTGGGGGCAATAAGCTGACTTTGTATAAAATATACAAAAGTATGAAGGCTATTGCTTAACGCATTGTAAGCCACCCTGAGTCTCCGGAGAAGGGCGGCATATAAAAATAAATAAATAAATAAATAAATAAAAAACCCACCCCTGATATAAAGGGCAATGTTGTAATGAAATAAGTGAAGAAGAAAGATGTATTAATAGAAAAGCAAGAAATGTGGGAGAAATGTTACAATAAATGAAATGATAATATTAAGAAATGATAAATATTGGAGGAGTAAGAAAAAGACACAAAAAGATGCATTCAGAACAGTGGTGAAATTAAAAAATTCCCCCTACCGGTTCTGTGGGTGTGGCTTGTTGGGAGGTCATGTGACTGGGTGGGTGTGGCCAACTCGATATCACTCACATCGAGGGACTCCTCACCGGCCCCTCCCCTCCCAGCCACTCCTTGTCGCGAATGGCAGGAAAATGGGGAGGGGAATATTCCTGCCTACCATCCTTCCCTCAGTCTGTGCTGAGATTGAGGAATGGATGACAGGCAGGAAAATCCCCTTCCCCATTTTCCTGCCTTTCACAAAAACTCCATTCCAGCTATTCTCCCCCCCTTCCTCCTGGGGACTACCTTAAAGGGACAGCCTGCAGCAGCTCCGTTCTGAATGGAGGGAGAAAAGTTAGCATTCTCTCTGCTGCATTTAACATTGAATTCTGTGGAATATCGAGCGTCCGGAAGAGGTGAGCGGTGACCGGCCGGGCATGGGTGGGGCCAAGGAGGGGTAATTACTACCGGTTTGGCAAACTGATGCCCATAATCCCTAGCAGTTCGCCCAAACCGGTCCAAACCGGTAGGATTTCACCCCTGACTCAGATGATAACGCTGAATGATTGATTATATATTGTATGTTTGTTTGTCTATAAAATAAAAAAAAAACTTTTTTTTAAAAAAACATGCTATGTCTGGAGCATTTAGTCCTCCACGTCTCTTTGATTTTTCTCTTTCTTCTCCTCCTGCAGAGGTTCTGTAGATGGGGGTGATGTCAAAGGACGGGTGCAACGATGGGCCAACTTCAGGCTACGTTAGATTGGAAGACGATCAGCCAGGGCGAATTCTGCCCCTTGGTGGACTTGAGGGCAACGCAAGGAGCCAGGCTGGGGTGCCAGCCCTGTGGACTCACTCACTCTTCTTCCTGTCCTCATTTTATGACTAGTATTATTATTTTTTTTAATAAGCACCTTATCAGACTGACCCCCATCTCATAGCTCATCTTCAACACTATATAACCACATAGTTATTTAACTGGCTGGGTAACAAAGGATGTGAATAATGTATATAAACTTCGATGTTAGCATGAGGACTGCGCCTTTATGATTTGGCTGCCCCTCGGGGGGAGGCGGGGGGTATTTTTAGGCGAGGGCCAGATCGTGAGAAAGGGGGGGGGAAATCAAACCCCACCAACTCCTTTTCCTAAAGCGAGGGTGTGTCAGTGTTGCAGGTGAGTGTGTGTTCCAGCCAATAGGAAGCATTTAGATGAGCGTTTCCTAACCTGGACAACTTTTAACTCCCCTAATTCCCCAGCCAGCCATGGTCGCCAACGTTGAGAAACACGGATCTAGTTTTCTTATTTAAAACTCTCCCCGTTGGTCTCAGCCAGGAGATGGGCAACATTGTGTGGCTGTGTGTGTGTATGTGTGTGACCCACCGTTAGCGACTCAGTAGCTGCCATCGTCCAACACAACTGTGCTTTTTCCTGAGTGGGGGGGTGCTGCTGTTTCTCGGTGGGGCGTTGCTGGGGCTGCTGCGCTCAGTGTCACAGTGACAGTATTATGCCTCTGAGCAAACTTTTGTGGACAATAAAATGGAGAAATCAAGAGGGACCGTCTCTTCTTTGGGGTGGCCGTTGGCCAACTGGAGATGTCCTGCTTAATTTGCTAAAATGGCCTTCTTGGTGGTGGGTTTCAAAAATTTTTATTACTGGGTGTGGCTTGGTGGGCATGGCATGGCTTGGTGGGCATGGCAGGGGAAGGTTACTGCAAAATCCCCATTTCCTCCTGATGACCTGGGACTTCGGAGGCAGACAGTGGTGGGATTCAGCCAATTCGCACCACTTTGGGAGAACCTGTTGTTAATTTTCTGAGCAATTTGGTGAACTGGTTGTTGGAAGAAACCATTAGGGCAGAGAACTGGTTGTTAAATTACTTGAATCCCACCACTGGAGGCAGAGAATAGATGGGGGTGGGACCAGTCAGAATTTTTACTACCGGTTCTCCGAACTATTCAAAATTTCCACTACCGGTTCTCCAGAACTGGTCAGAACCTGCTGAAACCCACCTCTGCTTCTTCCCCAAACCTGGCTGCACCTCCTGAGTAGCCTTGCGGACTGAGATGGGTGACATATAAATTTAACAAATAATCAAACTCCCTCAATTTATTTATTTAGAACAGGGGTGTCAAACTCGATTTCATGGAGGGTCACATCACTGAGGCTGTATCAGGGTTGTATTTGACCTCGGGGGGCTGGGGTGGGCATGGCCAGCTTGATATCACTCGTGTTGGGGGGGCTGTGGTGGCCGGAACACTCTGCCAGCAAAAATAGGCTCCCGAGTTCTGTTTTCGGCTGGGACCCTCTGCCAGCGAAAATGGAGCTCCCAAGGGCCCGAGCTCCGTTTATGCTGGCAGAGGCACCGCAGGCTAATTTTTTATTGTTTCCAGGACGGCCCCATGGGACAAATCTAAGCACCCTGCGGGCCTTGAGTTTGAGACCCCTCATTTTAACATTTAAATCAGTGTTTCTCAACCTTGGAAGCTTGAAGATGAGTGGACTTCAACTCCCAGAATCCCCTAGCCAGCACCGCTGGCTGGGGGATTCTGGGAGTTGAAGTCCACCCATCTTCAAGCTACCAAGGTTGAGAAACACTGATTTAAAGTGTCCACAAAAGAAATCTAAAACAAGATGGATCAACAACATCAGCAAGTATTGCAGGCCCAATGGGAAAAGAAAGCTCAGACGAGGCCTTCATCCTGCAGTGGGTAGACTGGCTAAAAGGTAGACCGGCTAAAAGAATACGAATAATCCCCGATCTTCGCACTTTATTTTATTTATTTATTTATTTGTTTAAATTTCTATACCGCCCTTCTCCAAATAGGACTCAGGGCGGTGCACAGCCTAAGTAAAAACAAAGCATACAAAATTTAAAAAACAGTATTAAAATAATTAAATATTCTGGCCGTAAATTAAAACAACCCAATTTAAAACCAATTTAAAATTTAGCTCAAGCCAGCCCAGCTAGTTGAAATAAATAAATAAAGAAATAAATAAGTTTTCACTTTCCGACGTGCCCTGAAGACCTTTCTGTTTCAACAAGCAGGGCTAGCATAAACATCTAAATTCTATGCCAAGATCTTAGCAGATACACCAAGTTGACTCAATTTATTATTTACTGTTTATAAAAAAAAAATAATTAAATGTATATGAAATCTTAATCTGTTCACCGCCCTGAGTCCTTCGGGAGAAGGGCGGTATAGAAATTCAATAAATAAATAAATAAATAAATAAATAAATAATGGATGATGGAGTCACCCATCTTTCAACCAACTCTGGGTGGCTTCCAATCAAAAACCGAAAGATGCATAAAATCATTAAACCTTAAAACCAACATAAAACAAGCACCAAATCAAAGATCTAAAGGCAATTATTTAGTCTTCTCCCAGCACTTGGGGGGGGGGGAAATCCAGGGCTTCACAGCTTTGTGGAAGGCTACGGAGAGAGGCGCCTCCAAAACTTCATGGGGCAAAGAGTTCCATAGGGCTGGAGCTAGCCCAGAAAAGGCATGCTTCCTAGACCCCATCACGTGACAAAATTTAGAGGAAGGGAATAAGAGAGCCTTGGTGGTGCAGCAGACTAAAGCACTGTTAAGTAACACCAGCTGCCTGTAATTACTGCAAGTTCAAATCTCACCAGGCTCAAGGTTGACTCAGCTTTCCATCCTTTCGAGGTAGGTAAAATGAGGATCCGGATTGTGGGGGGCAATAAGCTGACTTTGTATAAAAAAAGAGCACCGCTTAGGGGGGGCCCGAAAGCCCTACTAAGCAGGTATATATAAAAAGTATGAAGGCTATTGCTTAACGCATTGTAAGCCGCCCTGAGTCTCCGGAAAAGGGTGGCATATAAATCGAACCAATAAATAAAATAAAATAAAATAAAATAAAATAAAATAAATAAATAAGAGTGTGCCCATCTTATCTCACCTGGTAGGACAGGTAGATGTTCATAGGAAAAGACCATCCCACCGGTAGCCTGTGTCTGCCCAGAGGGCTTCATAAAGGTGGAGAACTTAATTTCCCAGTTGACATGGAAAACTGACTTGGGAAACCAAACAAAGTCCAAAAATAGCAATAGCACAGATTTATATACGGTACCACTTCACAGTGCTTTACAGCCCTCTCTTAAGTGGTTTACAGAGCCAGCATATTGCCCCCAACAATCTGGGTCATCATTTTATCGACCTCGGAAGGATGGAAGGCTGAGTCAACCTTGAGGCGATCAGGACTCAGCCACAGCTGGCCAGAGGGTTACAGGAGGAGGAAAGGGGGAGGAGAGTGCAGGAGAGAAGTGGCCCTGTACCTGCCTTTGCGCCACATTTGGTGTAAGGCAGCCTTTGCTTCCTGCCGCTTCAGGCTGGAGTCCAAAAAATGAATAAGAGGGGCGAGGGGTGGTACCAACCATTGATGGGACAGAGAGCCGTGGCAGAGGGCCCGAAGAGCCGCATGGGGCTCCGGAGCCGCAGGTTGCAGACCCCTGCCCTAGCTCAAGCTCACAAAGTGGCACCAGACAGATGTGTAGGATCTCTTTCCCAGCCAACAAAGGCTTCCATTGAAATAACTTTCATTCTGACTGCTGACTGCAAATGATGGGCATTGAGGTCCAATATATCTGGGAAGGGAAGAAATGGTTTAGAGAGAGAGGAGATCTCTGGTTTATGGCAGACCTGCTCCCCTCCCTGCCCTACCAGGTCAGCAGGAAGCATGTGACTCTGCAGGCAGTTCCTCACCCGGGTGCTACCCCTAGAGCAGAGGTCAGCGACCTGTGGCTTTGGAGCCGCATGGTGGCTCTTTCACCCCTCTGCTGCGGCTCCGTCAACTCAAAATATGCGTCACAACCATCAATGTGCGAAACCTGCCAGCACATGATTTATTGAGCTTTTCAACCCCCGGTAGGCTAACCATGGATAAATCCAAGAAAAGAAAAATTTCAGAAGAAAACAGAACGTTTAATTCAACTACATATGCTAGTTTTGTGGCCGCTCAAGAAATAGTCAGGCACGGGAAGGGTTTTGTGTTTTCTTTTCCGTGGGAAACGGGTCCAAATGGCTCTTTGAGTGTTTAAGGTTGCAGACCCCTGCCCTAGAGGGAAGAGATAAACCCCTCTTAGATTCCCTGGCTGAGCTGTAGACAGAGACCCACAGAGGAAGTTCAAGTCACCGCATTGCAGCTTCTAAAACATCTTTCAGGTCTCAAAAGAGCAATTGCTACACATTAATGATTCATTGCTACCCTGTTCTGAAATGGAAAACTTAGACAATATTGGACCGATGCCTGAGAACAAAACTCTTTTTAACCCCTTGCAAGAACTTGGGGAAATCATAGCCATACATGAAGTGCCTCCTGTCTTGCCAAACCTAGTTGGTTGCTCTTCAAAAGTGGGAAGTCAGATTTGACTTGGTTACTGCATGGATAGAAGACCACCAGGAAATCCAAGAATTTTTTTAAAAAAAATAGACTGGAAAGTTGAAAGGTATTCCAGAATACAGCAAAAGCCATCCCTTTGGGTAATTGAGAAGACAGGGATCTGGGAAAGAGAATTGATGATGGGTAGGGTTTAAGGTGCAGGATTGGTATTCAGCGAAACCTAGATTCAAATCCTCCCTCAGGCACGGAATCTCCAAAATATTTGGAACGGGTGAAATCCAGCAGGTTCTGACAGATTCTGGAGAACCGGTAGCGGAAATTTTGAGCAGTTCGGAGAACCGGCAAATGCCACCTCTGGCTGGTCCCAGAGTGGGGTGGGAATGGAGATTTAGCAGTATCCTTCCCCTGGAGTTGGGTGGGAATGGAGATTTTGCAATATCCTTCCCCCAGGAGTGGGGTGGGAATGGGGATTTTGCAGTATCCTTCCCCTGCCACGCCCACCAAGCCACGCCCACCGAACTGGTAGTAAACAAATTTGGAATTCACCACTGGTTTGGAAGATTCTTTATTTGTGTCCACCCCCAAAAATACTCTCTGGAATTAGTTATGCTGACCATGCTGGGTGCGATTTTTGCCAATCCAGAATTAAGATCCTGCCAGCACCAATCAGAACGGGGTTTTTTTTTCAACCTTAACCCACCCACTATCTAACTGGGTTATGCTGGGTTAGGTCTCCAGTCATTCTGACCGTTCCCTCTCTTGGCAGCATCTCTTGGCCCAGTCTCCCAAGGTTTTTCCCAGATACCATTACATGTCCCTCCCTGTCCAGCTGTCCCTCCCCTTGGCCCAGGGCTCCCAGCAATGGCCAGCCCTCTGGACCTCTTGTCAAGGCAAAAATCAATGCTGCTCTTTGGAAGCACCCAGCCAGGCAGGGAGGAGGGACCAAGAATGGAGTTAAAGTCACTGCACAACCATTAAAGGGCCAGAGACAATCCACCCTGAATTCCTTAGAGCAGGGGTATCAAACTCGTGAGCTGCGGATCAGATGCGTCATGTGTGGCCACGCCCACACGTTTTAGCGAAGGGGAAAATACAGGAGTGAAATTCAAAATTTTTCCCTACCAGTTGTGTGGGAATGGCATGGTGGGCATGGCAGGGGAAGGATATTGCAAAATCTCCTGTC